ATTTAGTTGTAGTAAAAAATAATTTGAGAATAACGGGATAAACCATAGATTTAGTATATTAAATCTATGCGATAAACAAAGTAAAACTAATAGCACTTCTAAAAGGATGGATTTATCGTACTAGTTAATACAGAATTATAGCTGTGCTAGTAAAAAAAAGTTGGTTAAAATGGACAAGTTAATAATACTTGTTATTTAACAAGTATTTATAACGGATTGCAAGACTAATCACACATTTGGGTACATAAACTATGCCAAAGCGTAGTAGCAATAATTTACATTATTGCTAACAAGCAAAGAGACATTACTTATATTTACACAACAAAACAGTAGCAATAGAACAAGTTACAAAGCAGGTAGGTACTTAACTTTAGCTGGTTCTCGGTCCGGCACTTTATCTCCCTTCTCCAGCTTTGCATTCCTATTTATACCCTTGAAAACCTCGTTTGATTTTCATTCATACATACATACTATTTGGACCAATCACAAAATAGTTATCCTTTACATTTGTACAGTGCTGAAGAAAATGAAAGCTTTTACCTAACAAGTTGCTGAAACATATTTTAAGAACTATAATAATTATAGGAACCTCGTAGTTAACACCATAATACCGTCCAATCACAGCAGTATTGCTTGACTCACTTAGTTGAGGATAAATGTTATGCATTACAAAGGTATAAAGGTATAAAGTAACAAAGGCTTATATTATAATTATGTAAACTCCGTAATTATCTTAATTACGCAAATATCATCATTAATATACAGCGTGTCCCAAAATTCAACGATAAGCGGGCGCTGGAGGGTGGACCTGCGCATAACTACTTGAGGAAAAATAAGAAAAAAAATTATATCTTTTTTTTTTTAATTACGATAAAAAAATTGTTATTCTTCGAAAATTTACTCCCTTAATGATATTTTAAATCACCACGACCACAATTTTTCAGATATTTCTGATGTTTTTATTTTAACGGCCACCTAAGCAGTACTGCTGTCTACCACAACTCTTAAAATTCCCAGAATGCCTGCAATTTTACAAAAAAATCCATCAAAATATTTTTTTTCCTTGAAATTTTGAAATATTTTTACCTGCAGTCGACTTTCACTCATCGTTTTGTAAAAAAAAAGTACGGACACCACTGCGGCAAGTATTTTTAAAAATTGACGCAACTAACCAAGATTCCAAAATGGTATAATACTTTAAGAGAACTAGGCGCAAAAAAATATTGATACCATTTCTAAGAAAGACTAAATTTCTTGATTATTGTTCTTATTCATAATAATCACTTTCACTATGTGCCGAAAAAAGATTATTTGATGCAATTTCTTGGAATTTCAATGGCACATGTGCGTAGTCGATACAATTTAGAAATTAGAGAGAGAAAGATAGCGAGAGATATACGTTAGAAAGAGATAGATAGATGCCCTTTGTTGAATAACAATAAAGCATGTACTTAAAAAAAATTTTGAAAAAAATATTCGTACCATTTTTAAGAAAGACTAAAATTCTAAATTATTGTTCTTATTTATAGTAATCACTTTTACTATTTGCCGAAAATAGGTTTTTGTTGCTGAAAAATGTTGAATAAATCAAAACAAATGGTATTTCTTCATTTAATTTATTTATTGCAAAATTAACATTATAGTAAATGTTCAAATTGTTTGCCACCAGCATTAATACATGCACGACATCGCCTTAAAAATGATCGTTTTATCTGTCGTGCATATCTTCTATCGTTGATATGAGCCGCAGCTTGATTGACTTTTTGCCGAAGCTCGTCCAATGTTGTGATGGGTTTTGCGTAAATCCTGTCTTTGAGACAACCCCAATAGAAGAAATCCAGGGGGTTTAGGTCGGGTGAACGGGGTGGCCATAAGATAGGACCAAGTCGCCCGATCCAACGCCCAGGATATTCTTGGTTTAAGTATTCTCGCACAGGACGGGCGTAGTGAGCTGGGCAACCATCATTTTGAAACCACATGTTTTGTACATCACTTAAGGGGATGTCTTCTAATAATTCTTGCAAATCATTTTGTAAAAAGTTCAAATAACTATCACCATCTAAGTTTCCTTGTAACTCAAAGGGCCCAATCACTTTTCCATTTAATATGCCTGTCCATAGGTTAACCTTGAATTGATATTGGGATTTGTCTTGTCTCATCAGGTGCGGATTTTCATTGCTCCAACTATGTAAATTGTGAAGATTTAAATAGCCATCTTTCTTGCAGGTTGTTTCGTCCGACCATAGAACTTTGTCTAGGAACTGGGGATCTTCCCGGTGTTTTTGCAGCATCACACGGCAAAATGCGATCGGTAGTGGATAGTCCCGAGGCAATAACGTCTGCACTCGCCTATAGTGATATGGGTGGAGCTTGTGACGTTTCAGAATTCGATGTGCCGTACTTTTTGGGATTCCCGTAGCTGCTTCTATGGCACGTACTGAGCTAGTTGCATCAATGTTTATTTCATTGAGAACTTCTTCATCGCATTCCGATTTCGGTCTTCCAGCGTTTCTTCTGGCAGATGGAAAATGACCCTCCGAAAACGCTCGATGCACATTCAAAAATACTCGATAATCCGGGTATCTTTCAGTGTTTGGGTACCTTTCTCGATACAATCTGCTGGCAGCGTTAGCATTGCACCGACATTCTCCATAAATGAGGTGCATGTTAGCGTATTCCACCGGTGTGTATGGTAGCGGCATGATAAACGATAATCAGTTCAAAATACGCCAAAACTCCAATTCACAGTCCAAAGTGATGCCAGGTCAATTTAGTTTGCAGATCACTTAAATCCAGTCCAATAAGCCAAGCCAAAAGTCGTTAGTACGAGAGCTACGTCAATTGATTACGGAAAGGTGCGCAGTAAACAAAGGAGCAGAGCGTACTGACTTGCTGAGCACCGCAACTTCTCTACCTGCGTTATTGCTATTCAACAAAGGACATCTATCTATCTCTTTCTAACGTATATCTCTCGGTATTTTTCTCTCTCTCTAATTTCTAAATTGTATCGACTACGCACACGTGCCATTGAAATTCCAAGAAATTGCAACACATAACCTTTTTTCGGCACATAGTAAAAGTGATTATTATGAACAAGAACAATAATCAAGAATTTTAATCTTTCTTAGAAATGGTACCAATATTTTTGGCGCCTAGTTTTATTAAAGTATTCTACCATTTTGGAATCTTGGTTAGTTGCGTCAATTTTTTAAAAACTTGCCGCAGTGGTGTCCATACTTTTTTTTTACAAAACGATGAGTGAAAGTCGACTGAAGGTAAAAATATTCCAAAATTTGAAGGAAAAAAAATATTTTGATGGATTTTTGTGTAAAACTGCAGGCATTCTAGGGTTTTTAAGAGTTGTGGTAGACAGCAGTACTACTTAGGTGGCCGTTAAAATTAAAACATCAGAAATATCTGAAAAAATGTGGTCGTGGTGATTCAAAATATCATTAAGGGAGTAAATTTTCGAAGAATAACAATTTTTTTATCGTAATTGAAAAAAAATGAGATAGATTTTTTTTCTTATTTTTCCTCAAGTAGTTATGCGCAGGTCCACCCTCCAGCGCCCGCTTATTGTTGAATTTTGGGACACGCTGTATACTATAATATCGTCCAATCACTGAGCAGCATTGTTTAATTCACTTGGTTGAAAATTTAATAAATATTAATATAGTCCTAAGGTCTTAAGTAGAAACTTCAAGAATATTTTAATTAGTATAGCAATTATTTATCAACGACGTAGTTTTCTTAATTTAACAAATATCATTAATTTTATAAACCTAATGGTTTATAAAATTAATTATAATTAATAGTCCAAAATGGAAGTTGATCAAAAAGGTAACCTTTCGAAATGCAATGGTGAAACTATTACAGATAAATGTGATGTATTTCAAACAGTCATTATTAATCGAAACAAGAATTATGAAACCATTAAAATAACTGAATATTCTGTATTTTAGGAAAGTAACCTTATTTCACAAGTTTCGTTTAAATTAATAGACGCCATGCAACTAAGCATTCCATACACGTCATGCAACAATGCAGCAACGATATGCTTCAGCATACCTAAAGATGCCTAAGGATACCGTGGCATAATTGCCGTCAGTGTGTGCTTGCTTATAGGGTTGCTGAAGGATCGACTACCGTCCCCTCCAGTCAGTGAACACCTCGCACTACTGGTCTAAGTCGCGCCTGTAAAAAAGTTTAAAGATGATTTTTGGGAACGGAAACATCTCAATTCTGTTCGGCTAATTTCACCACTATTTCAATAATGGTGGTGGCGATTACTTTTTGTTGTCTTCAATCCAATCCTCTTTGGGTATGTTGTATGTACCTATTGTCACTTTGTGAATCAAGTCTCTTAAGCAAGTAATTTCCTAATAGTGATAGAGATGAGTATCTGGATGATGAAATTCAGCTGGAAACAGAACAAGATCGAGCCTGAAACAGAAGGAGAGATAACAAGAGACAGGCAGATGAAACAAACTGTGTTCTACAGCCAAAGGTTCCATTTTGAAATGTTGTAATTACTTTTTAAATATTGTTTATGTAAGTGGCCAGTTCCGGAAACTTATTGTATGTAGATCAAACCCTTAAAGCATGGAAAATAAATGAAATCAAATCTAACTAAAAAGGCGCCAAAAAGGGGCGTTGAGGCGTCATCGATAGGCAATCCCCTGTCAAGGTACAAGCACAAACAACTATCGTACAATAAACACTACCGCAAATTACCGTTGTAAAAATTCGCCTCCACTTTGTTCAGAGCAATGTAAATTTGTAAATTGAGCCTAATTCACACTACAGTAAAATTTGCGAAACAGATCCTTTTCTTCTCTCTTATCTCCACCTTTCAGCCTCGTTTCCTAATTCCCTAGTTAGCTAGTTATAAGTTTCCCCGTTCTAAAGAGAAAAGCCAAACACCTTGTATCTGAAACGCACCGTCTCCAACGTCGACAAAGGAAACACTTCAATCCTTTTTACTCGTTTATTTCAAGAATTAATGTGACAACATACATTAGGTGCCTATAGGTCAGCCTATGGGGACAATTTTATACAATGCGAAATTAATATCTATAAATAAAATACAACACAACGTTATGTTTTTGTAATATTTCTATTTTATACAAGTACCTACTACACAATAAATTATAGTAACAGGTTGTATTTTGCGAAGTGAATGACGCTTTGTTAAAATAGTTAAGATATAAATAGAATTGGTATTTATTTTCTAGTATTCTACGTAAACTGTAAACTACATTATAAAGCCAGAACATTTCCAGTATACATATAATACACTGTTAGAATCTGATGATGCACTTGCTAGTAATCGCCTTATGTTTAAACATTGATGATTCTTAAGAATTACAACATAAAAGACGTGCTCAGCAGCTTAAAATTGGTATCTCTATCCATATATTAGGGTGTTACCACGCCAACCGATCGATGTCGAATAGATACCATCGGTCGACGTCGATCGGTTGGTTTGGTAACATTGGCTTATCAATGAATATCGATCGACCAAACAATCATTCGACTGTAGGTCGATAATAGATTTAATCATTCATACAATGGGTTTTCAAGTAGTTCTTAAAATGTATATAGAACAGTGTACATGGATCATTTAATGACAAATGGAGCAGATCAATTTGGTGTAGTAGGAACTGTGGATCGATTTTGAATCATCTCAATCTACCATCGATCACTATAGATTAGTTGGTGTGGTAACACCTTAAAATATACAACTTCGATATTCTGAGATTTTATGACAAACCGTAATCTTGTCGATTTTTTCTAACTTTGTGTAAAACAAATTCTATTTGTAGGCAAGGGTTGCAATTGGTACGTCTTGTTACAAGGATGATTATAAAATATGAAGTAGTGAAATAATCATAGTGTTTGTAGTGTCATGCATGCCGCTATGCCATCATAGAAGCAAAGTGGACGGTTACATCACCGATCACCGAAGTAATGTTTACCGCATAACAAATAAAATACAAGTCTTTTGATAAATGAAGTAACAGTGTGAACATACTAATTCATTCTTCTTCATTATATCCCTCAAAGTGCGGGAGTTAAACCGATCATTTAACGCTTTACCCGTGAGGACTACCATAATGTCAATATTAAATGATGTTTTCAGTATTTTGATATTTATTATAACGGTAGTCCTAACATGCATGTCGGATCTTAATGAGTGCAGCCTGTGATGCGACCAGCCAAACCACAATAGCTACCGACAGCATGCAAGGCCCTCAAATATAAAAGGCCGAAGGGAAGCTTCAAGTCAATCTTCAAAATAATTATATACAGCGTGCGCATATTTGATCTTTTTTCTTAATCCCCTAAAACACTTTATGCGTGTCGAGGTGATAAAAGAAACTTATGAAGCTACTACAATCAAAACTATGGTTAGTTCAGATAAACACGTAATTAATAATTTAATAAATTGATATATAATTAGTTGACATAATTTCTTGTGCCTATTATTTCGGTTCAATATTTAATTGGCTATATATAGGAAAGTAAATGTTACGTGGAAACTGTACGGAACTCTTAATTACACGCCTAAACCTAAAATTGCATATTCTCTGGAATATACATCTCATATTTGACTATTGGTATATACAGAAAGAAATAGTAACAAGTATAGGTTTTCAAAACACAATAATTTATATACAATTTAAAGTTACGTTAAAATAGTATAGTAATTCTACTCGGAATGACGCTAAAGTGGTAAATTATTGACTACTAAAATACAAAGAACAGGCGCTACGAACATCCACAATGCGTAAATCATAATAATAAACAATACAAAAGGTACTTTGGTGATGGGTGGAATTGAAGATTTACTTTAAATTTATTAAGACAAACTGAAAATATAAATTACAAAACGAAAGGAACATCTATTTAACATTTTTTGTTTGCAAATACTCTCATTAACTATAGACGATTTCCACCGCCACCCATCATTCGGTGTAAAGTGTCAAGTTCAGTGAGTGGCTATTTACCGACCGCGTAAGCAAACTTGCATGTGAACCTGACAATTTACAAAATACAATCGCATAATTAGCACAATTATCTGCATCTAACATTGATTCCATGTTATTATAATTACTATTATATGTGTACATTTATTTTTTGTCTCGCTAAATCGTTTGTTGCATCAGCCATGGCGGCCTTTGTTGTGTTTTAGAGATCATATTAATCGATAATCTTACACGTGTATGAATTAAATATTAAATTGCTTGCGCGAGAGTTCGCACTGTGAACTAACACTGAGACAATAACATCTAAAAGTAAACACCCTTAAAAATAACGCTTCTTATTTGTAATCTCCTCTACTTCAGTGTTACGAGATAATGTAATTATCGTAATACGGCTTACAGTTAAATAGGTTTTTTCATTTATTATTGGCTTGACGACAATCTTTCTTGAAGAAACATCGACGTTAACGATGTTAGACGCGAATGTCCATTCACATTTCCTATAATTTAAGCAAGGATATAGGTAGCCTCAGTGGTAGCATTGTCTTCTTCTTCGGGGTCCTCTTCTTCCTAGAATAGCAATCATGGTAGGTATGATATA